TTTTCTTCTCTTTCTAGTAAGCATATCTTGATGTTTGCAAACTTTACACGATAATTTCAAATCAACTGTTCCAGAATGAAAACAAGATGGTATGGTGGGTTAACCTTGGCTAAGGGCCAAACTCCCACCCAACTGCTCTCTCACTCCCCGTTCTGAGTAGGACAGGGGGAGAAAATAGGATGAGAAATCTTGTGGGTTGAGATTAAGACAGGGAGATCAGTAACCAGTTATTTTCATGGGCAAAACAGACTCAACTTGAGGAAAATTAATTTAATTTATTGCCAATTAAAATATATTTGGGTAGTGAGAAACAAAGACAAAAATTTTAAAAAATACTTTTCCTTCATCCTTTCCTAGGCTCAACTTCACTCCTTCACCCCTGATTCCTCTAACGCTGCCTGAGTGCTGCAGGGGAAGTTGGAGGGTATGGTCAGTACATAATGTTTTCTCTCTGCTGCTCCTTCCCTCTCACACTTTTCCCCCTGCGCTGGCGTGTCCTTCAGGAAAAATCCACTCCAATGTGGGCTCTCTATGGGCTGCAGTTCCTGTCAGGAAAATCTGCTCCAGCACCGTCTCTTTCACAGGTTGCAGGGATATCTGCTGTACCATGGAGCATCTCCTCCTCTTCCTTTTCTGACCTAGAAGTTCTCTCTGATGTTTCTAATTATTTTTTGTTCACTCTTCCTCTCTCCATCCCATTTTTTCCCCTTTCTTAAATATGTTTCCACAGAGGCACCACCAGCTTGGCTGATGGGCCTCTGGTGGGTCCACTGCAGGGCCAGCTGGACCATGCTGTGTCTGGCACAGGGCAGCCCCTGACCACTTCCCAGAGAGATCACTCCTACATTTCCCCTGCTACCAAAATCTTACCACTTATACCCAATATGCTGAAATACACTGTATTACAGAAAACATTGAGGAATAAATATTAAGTCAGTAGTTGGGCAGAAATCCCTATGATAATTTTGTGAGTGCATGCGGATTGAATTAGGCCTTGAGGACTTGACTTTCTCAAAAGATGCAACTGATGCATTGTATGCCTTCCATGCATACCCGTAAAATGCTTTCTTATGACCGTAATTTGTTAAATTCTTAGTTGCAGAAATGTAATAGATTTTGCATCTCAAATGTTAATGGTTTTGTGTGTTGCTCTTGGTTTCATGACTTCCCAAATACCTGGCAGGAATGATTTGAATGAGAAAGATATTATGGGTTATCACTATTAGTCATCCAGTAACCTAGTATTTTGGTGGGTTTCAGCACAATAATCCTAAAGTAACTGATATTACACTTAATGCCATTTATCCTGAAGCATATTTAAAGGGAAGTATCAACAGGAAATAGTTTGACCTTCAGTTGAAACGCTTTTCAAATTCTCTACAGAAGGATCTCAAAAGTGTGCATAATAGGCTTATGATGATTCAGGTAACAGTCCAAGTAAACTAAGTTTTATGAAGATCACTTACTGATGGTTGGAATGCTGAAGGAAGTAGTGGATCTGAAATTTTTATTACAAACTAAATACAAGATTTAAAAAAACTTTTTACCCTTTTACTATTTAGAATTTTACCAGTTCATTGAAGACAGAATTAGACCAACTCTGCTCACATTGGAGTATTTCAAAATAGAACTCCTACATATAGCAAATGACAGGCCCTGATACTTCTTTCTGAGCACCACTGTTTGTGCAGATAGCTATGCACCTGATGTTACACTTCAATATGGAAAAGCATTTGGAAAAAAAAAAATTCTTCATCTAAACTAAAATATTTTAGAATCATGTTAAGAATGCACTGGAATTCCACACACATTGTGCAGGGTAGTGAAATTTTACATGTGCATAAATATATGTATTTTCCAATTAATAACTTTATTCATGGTATACAAGTAGCTGCACAGAGTTTTATGTACAAAGTTTATTACCAGACCATGACAGTGACAAAGACAGTGAAACAGGCAGGTGTGTGAGTCCACAGGCTGGCTGTTCCACGTGTCACACAGGCTGCATGCTTTTCTAAGTTTGTTTCCCAAGCACAGCACACTTAACATTTTAAAAACAAAACCTGATGGCCTGCGTGTGTGGATTTGTGCAGGTTTAGTAGATAGCAATTTACTCCCTGTTGTTTCACATTCCATTCTTTCTTTTACCTAATATAAGATGTTTAAATGTTTTCATTTGAACTTCAGCTACTTGCTTTCTGTTCTACATTCAGAAATTAATTAATGAAAGATACTGACTACAAAATTCTTAACAGACTTAAGTGGATACAGCACAGTACATGTCTTCTGTGAAAATTAGTGGAAAGAGCTGTTTTTTCAAGTGTTAAATAGTAGTAGCTCTTGCTAGCTGCCCTTGGATACTCATTCACTCCCCAGAGATTGTTAGCATTATCTTTAGCTTTTCGGAAGTGAGATATCAACACCCTAGTTGCCACTTGGTGTTACAGGAAAAAACACATCTCCTGTTTGCAGAAATTTTCAGAAATCAATGAAGTTCATGGAGCTACAGCCCTTTCTATGAGCAGGAGATCAGTTCTGAAACATCTGTAGGAAAGTAAGAGCAACTGTAGTTAGAGGAAAGGTCTGTCCAGCCTAAGAAGTGGTCTCCAACAGTGACCGATACTGCATGCGTATGGAATAGTATAAGCAAGCAAGCACACATCAGTGCTGTCTCGCACACCAAGCCAATCTTCAGCAATTTGCACACATTTCCTGAGCTAGAGACTAGCTCTGTTAAAGTCTGAGGTAAGAGAATGAAATGCTGAATGGATTAGAAAATACACAGCATTAGATAAAAAGTGATTTACTTAAATTCTTAAAGCGTAATTGGCAGTTAATGCAAGAGATTATGAAATAATAACAAATGGGCTGGTACAACTAGGGGGAGGGTGGGAAGAAACAGAATTCGTGCATTAATAATGGAGATCATGGCAGTGAAGGACTGAAAGACAGTGTTGGATCTAATCTCTGTCCATTCTAAATTTCAAACAGCTGTAGATCTAAAAAATTTTACTGTCAACAGTGGAGAGGGGAATTTTTCCTATGACCAAGTAAAGTGCAGAGAGTCTGGAACACACTGCTGAGTCAAAACAATGACTTGCAACCTGTAGATAGATGCTATGGCAAAAACCCCCAAAGCGGTCCCTGATTATGTGTGATTAACTTAATACATGAGTATTATTTAAATATAGATTAACTTTTGTAAAAGAGTTTATGGTGTGTTCTTACTGTATGTGGAAACTTGTATAACTTTGTGTAGGTCACAGTCCTCATCTAACACATATTTTAAACAGCATTAAGTTAAGCTCAACATTTTTAATCATTTTTCTCCTAATGCTATTGTGAAGTAATAGCTCTTTTATCCACATTTTATCTTCCAGCTATAAAGTTAATCGTTGCTTCAGATTACACCATTTGCATTAAATCTAAGGTGGCATGAAACCCTGCTAAATATTAAAGAGTTTGAGATTGAAGCAGAAAATTTACATTGTTAGTCAAAACTTGTTTTATTAGGACCTAGCAGCCTGGCTTGCATTAGAACTGAGCAGAAAATTTACATTGCCGACAGAAACAAGGAAGGAAGGAACACATTCAATTAAAGGAAATATATGTAGGTGTATAAATCACATTAATCATGCTCAGATGACCTTGTATTTATATATTGTATATGAACTACATACAAGGATGTTGATTCTTCATGAGATTTATAGCTATTTGTTACACCAAGAATTCAAAAGATATTGAGGGGAAGTTAGAAGTTGGTATCCTGGCTAAAATATAAAATGAAGTTGAGGTTTTCCAACCTATGTGTTGAAATTCAGTATAACTTTTTGAAAAGCTATTGAAACAGAGTGAGTAATAATGAATAATAAAAATTCCTAGATTTTATTAGATTCAAGATTCACATACTGTTATTTAGCTTTAAAGATCCTGGAGCATATGATGAAATTCTGTACTGAGACTTTACTATTTGAGGTTGCAAAATTACAGCTATTCTTCAAACAGTTGCTTATAACACCAAAACTAGAATGATTTCATCATTCTTCTTCTGGTCTCTGATGCACATACATGCTCTCGTTTTCCAGTCTCCAAGGATATAAATGAGGAAACATGAATCAATCAGTTGCTAGAAATTGAACTTATGTTGAGAGAAATAGATAGCTAGCTTAAACTGATTTTTTTATGCTCTTTGTAAATAATACTTCATTATTTGAGTATTATGGCTGTTACACTTTAAATATGTTTATCCTGACATTAGAGTAGGGAGCGCTTTCTTATTTAGAAAATTAACGTATGAGAATTTTTACATATGAGAATTATTTTAGCAATAAATTAATCTTCCTGAAATCAAGTCTGTTTTTCCCATGATGGTAATTTGTGAGCAATCTCCCTATCCTTATCATGACCCATGAGCTTTTTCATCTTATTCTCTTCTCCTGTCCTGCTGAGGAGGGGCAGTGAGAGAGTGGCTTGGTGGGCACCGGACAGCCAGCCAATTTCAACCCACCACACAATCTCACAAACTTAGAGAATACCTTCAGTCTCAATATTCCAATTGGTAGCTTTAACAGCAACAAGCTTTCGAGATCAAGAATCATATCCAGACTCATTTTAGTGGAAGTACTTCGTCCTTATTAACACCTCAGTTATCATCTTTAACTAAGTTCTTCTAGCTGAACATCATTGAATAAGCTATGGAAAACGTGTTCTTGCTTTTAGGTAGAGTCAAGAAAAGAGCTGCAGTCTATCACTTAACTTTCATTTTTTGATTAGTGATCTGTTGAAACATCAGTATCTCCCTCCTTTAGCTTGGTTGCTCTTTGAGGATCTCTGTGTAGCTTTTTTTCTTTTAATTATGCCAATGGCCTTTTCTGCATCCTAATAATTTTTCACTCCAAGCAGATCTGAATTTGAGTCAGGGAGCTGTCTGAAAGATAATGGATCTATCCTTCCTTCTTTCATACTCAGAAAGAGTGAAGTTTGAAATATATCTTTTCAAGATGGCACTGTCCGAGAAGGAAGCTGCCAATCATCGAAGGTGAGAATTTTCCACACGTATAATAACAGCAACCAGATATAATATATCCAATGCCCATGTACTGTACGGCAAGGAATTTCTTTATAAAATGTCTCCATAAAATTGAAAAGTGTCAGCATTTGTAGAGAAAGTAAATTGAAGGGATCTCTTTTAACTAGTAAGGTCAGGTATATCTTCAGGAAAGGTACAAAAGATAGTGTTGAGTTAGATGACTAATGTGAATGTGCAGAAGATAATTTTTCTGTAGAAATACTTTTTTCACATTTTTTTTCATTGCTGTGTATGGATACTTACTCTGGATTAATCCTGTACATTCATTACGATCTTATTGGATATAATTTTAGACAACTGGACTTTATGTATTTATTCTCCTCTAAGCTTGTGAGGGTTGTATTAATTTTTAGGTGCCTGTGATATTTTCAGAAGATTAAAATAAGGTGTATATAGGACATAGTTTTCACACTCAATTTGTTGTGCAGTATATTCTGTAGACAAAGGTAAAGGAATTTCTGACATTTTGTAAGGTGAGTTTATGAAGAGAATAGGATGCTTTCTTTGAAATATGTAACCCTCACTTAAATCCACATAGCACTTTCTGTAAAAAAATTTGCAAAATATCCACATGATTAAGTGTATGAAGTCGACAGGCCTAAGAAAATTTAATCTCAGTAGAACTTTTCCCTACCTGTGTGAATTCAAATTCATGTTATATTCATCACACTCTCTATGTATAACATACCTCATCAAAATACAATGTTTTTTGATGATGAATCCTTCAAATGGGACTTGGTATATGACTTTGATAGAGCTTATGCCAGTGTAAGATTGATGTTGATTCTTTCAGCACATTTAACCCTTGGGCAGTATACTTGCCCTTTTTTTGGACAGTTATTAATTCATCCAAAGCAAATTTTCTCCATCATTCTGCCTTTAAAGTAGAGGTAGCTCATGAATATAAGGGTCCTTTTTTTTTCCAATAAAAGTTACAGTATCTAAATTAAAATTGGTAGAAAAGATATTGCTTCAAGTCTGTAAATAGAAGGCACTACACCTGTAGGAAAAAATGGTAGGAAGAAGTGGCAACCTGTATTGTCTTGCTGTAAAATAATGTAATTTTTCTAATCAGGATAATTTATGGAGAACAGATATTTGTTATGTTTTTCCTTTAAGGAAATAAAAAAATAAAGTAATGTTAAAAATAACATACATGAATGCAGAAACCACAAAGTTCATAGAGCTAGATTATCTTCACAATGACTAAATGATTTATTTTTTTTTTGTCAGCTCCCTTTGAGGCAAATTGAAGTTGAAAGAATAAATTCTCTTATGGAGGTCTGATAAAGCTATGCCATTTTTCCTTTCTCACACTTGGGCATCAATTCACTTGTCTTCTGTCTTTCTCTTTGCTCTCCAATCTCATTAGCTTGATTGCTCACCCTCCCTCCAGCCTTCTAAGGAGAAATACAGTTTTTTTCATAGAAGGTCATATCTGAGAAAAATAAAGACTTTGAACTTTAAGAAAAAAAAAAACAAACACACAATTTACCTGCAAAGATTTTCTGAAAGGACCTTTTCTTTAAGGTTATTTTGAAAGAAACTTGTTTTTTCTTACCTTTTTAAACAGCAGCAGAGTTTTGTAGTTTTCAAAGATAAGTGCATATCAAGTTTTGCTTTCACTGTGTGTGCTTATGCATATATAGTGTGGTTGTGTCTGTGACTGTGTGTCTGTGCACGTGCAGTGTTCATATATTTGAGTGCATTGCCTCAAGTAAGAGTCATCTGTGGATTACCATGATGGTGATAACAAGAGCAGAATTGCTTTCTTGGGTACAATAAAGAATGGAATGACAGATTTTATCGACACTGATTTTTTTTTAAAAACTCTGTCTTAAAGCATATTTATTAATTAAGTGCTGTCTGTACTGTTCTGAAAAATCTTTGTTCCTGGAGTAAAACACTATTAAAATTCAGGTTTTGTGTAATACATGCATGTATTTAGTTACTATTAACTAGCATGCATTTCAACTAACATCAAACACAAGTTTCTTTGTCTAAAAAGAAAACACAGGTGTTTTTCAAAGCTATGTTAGCTTGTCATGAATAAGGTAAGTGGAAGAAAAGCTGCAAAACTAACAAGCCAGGAAAGTGGCCATGAATTTAATCATGAGAAAACATTGGCTCCAGAGGCAAAGTAATTCAAAATATGGTTTATGCTGACTGAAAATAGAGGAAAAATCACAGAAGTTCTGATTCACTGCTTTGTTTTCACCTGACCTGAAAAATGAAATCAAAATACAAGGAGTTTTTTGTTTGTTTGTTTGTTTTTATCATCAGTGTCAGTGAATTATACAGTACACAGAGACATGTTTATACAGATCTATGTCTTTGTTTAATACTCAAATGTTTATTTTCACTGTTTTTATTTTGATATGTGATCCTTAGAGGTGTCCATGATACCCAGTAAAATACTAAATAAGAATGTATTGTTGTTGCATTTATTATATCAAATGATAAGCCAGCTCTGAAGAGCAGAAATTTGACCTTTGCATATCTTTGCATTTTGGTTAGATAAGAAGGAGTTTTCTTCAAAATATTGATGTATTTACATGTTATTTCATTCAAAATCTCTACTTTAAAAGTTAAAAACACTGATACATATTAAAAACAGTATATCCTTTCTGTCAGAATAATTTTGCACAACAGATACTGCAGTAACACAACTATTTGATGCTTGAAACATTATATGTTTCAATTTCCTAAAGGATCCCAAAGTGCTAGTTATGTCATACTTTGCTTTGAATTACTTGTGCAGCCATCGTTGCGGTACAATACTGTCCGTAGTAATGTTGCAAAACAGTTAAGTAGAAGGAGGTAGGAAAATCACTTTTGGCTAATCGAAGTTAAGGGTTTTTTTCATTTTCTGTTGTGGCAAAGTTTAGAAATAACATTCCTGAGCTATTTTGCTTGGTGCTTTACGAACATGGAGACAAAAGATCAAGAATACTTACAGTCTAACTTGGTGAACTGTACTAACAAACAAATAGCATTTGACTATTTCTTGTTGCTACTGTCACTATTTAAGCTTTTTCAGTAGCAAGTCAACACTTTAGGAAGTATTCATGGATTTTGATTTTAAGATGGTCACACAGTGGGATGTCCTCAACAATATCAGATGCAGATATTGATTGCCGCCAAATGAATAGCAAGGCTGAGGGAAATATTTTTACTGAGAACAGCTTTTAATTTGGACTTGAACAGTTGCTCTTGTTTTATAGTCCTGCGTTTTTGGTTTTAATAATACTTGCATGCTGGAATTTTGTTGCCATAGAGATATGAGCTTTTTTAGTTTTGCAAAATTATGCAAATTCTTTTTCTTGTTAAAATATTCATGGAGGAGTACAGCCAGAGATGGGAGGGTAAGGGTCGGTTCTTGTGTCTTAATGGAATTGAACATTGACATAAATGTTCTAGTTAGTATTTCATTCTAATATTACAGGAAGGCATTTATTGGTATGTCTACTGTAATTATGGTTTGTCCCTTTGGAAGCGAAGACCATGGAACTGGGAGATGAACATTTAATCAGTAAAATTAAGAATTACTTTCAATTATGAGGTTGTTGACAACTACAAGACCAGCAGTAAACAGTTTTTATTTAGAAATGTTTTATGAGGATGTGTTATTTAGAAACATGTCTCAGAGTTGATGCTCAAATACTGAGTTTAATTTAAATATCATTAGTAGTCTGAAACATTTTCACAGTTAAAGAAAAAGTGGTTTTTTTAATACAGACCTACACACTTCAGCCACTCTGGCCCTGCTAAATTGGTGCTTATAAAGATCAGCGCAGCTGTTGCAAAAAAACTAGTCAGCAGCTGGTGAGTTTCTATTAGCTGGTTTTTTTCTCCTCTTCAGTTTAACTGTATTCAGTCAAGGAAGAATGTCTGCAATTTTGATGACATACAAGGTTAATTTTTTAAAATGTCCCTCTATGACAAGTACCTGACATCTTATGCTATGGTGTCACAGCTTCTGGCATATTTTTACCAGACTGGGAGAATACCAAAGACTGAGATTTACTTACCACCACAGTAATAGGCATGGGCAGTAACTGTACATGAATTACAGTTACTACATGACTACTGGAAGAATATGCACCCTACTTGATATTTTTGAATCCTTGATCTAGTTACAGCAGCTTGGGGAGCAGTGGTTGGGAAGGCACAGTCATAGAAGGACTTTGATCATACGGAAAGCAAATGAGGAAGAAGAAAGTGAGTAACCATACTAGGGTTATGTGCTATGGTTACTGTAGCTAAGTAACTATAAGTAATCATATATTCTAAATTTTGTAAAGGCCTATGATTAGAAAAGTGGATTTTAGGCTTCAGGAATGGCTGGCCAGACAGTTTTGTTTCTCTTCTCCAATGAGAGAAAATGACAGCTGGGAATGATGGTAGAGATTTAAGAATTTGTAGAGTAAATGTCTACATTTCATAAGTGCATTTTAGGAAACAGCATATAATCTTATTGTGCAAATTTTTTAATCAGGATTCCATTAATTTTTTGAGTGTTAAATTCAGAAAGAGCAACTACTCAACATAAGTAGGAGTGGCAGCACAGGGCCTACAGGAGAGCTGATGTCCTTCAGTTCCCATCTTTCTTAGGAATTGAGATTTGCTCCATTTTTCCTATTAGAGTTCCATGATATCATTGAATGTTTCAATGTTATGTATTAATCACCATGAATTTCTGCATTTTATTTAGACATCTGATTTTTCTTTGCTTGCATATAATGCGGTGTAGTTCATCCAGGGAAGAAGAGAACCAGAGTTGTGAAATGGTAATGTTAATACAGTATCTCAGTAACACTAAGACTGCGCTGAGTTTATGGGTATAATTTAGAAAATCCATAAATAAGAAGTTTCTTATTAAATTCTTTAATATTTTCCATTTAAATGTTTCTTATTATAGTAGATACATTGAATTAAAAGAATTATGT